AGGCTATTTTCTTAAAATTTTATTAAGATAATCACTAATTTAGTTCTATGAAACTAGGGCTATTTTGATTAGAAAAAAAAATTTATTTAATATACAAAATTGATTTACTTAATAAAATTTTAAGAAAATTGAAGATATTTATAAATAAATTTTACTAGCTATAATCAGTAGTGATGATTACTGGTTAAATAAATATTTATAATACATATAATCGAATTGTATAACCTAAACTAATTGTTAAAAAAAATCTATTTTAGTTTAACCTGTATAAATAATTGCAAGTATATAATCTAAAATTGGCTTTCTAGCAAGACTTCAGTTTAGTTTATCATGTATAAATAATCTTCAAGTATATAACCTAAAATTGACTTAGCAAAACTCATAGTTTAGTTTATTGTATATATATAAATAATTCCTTTTTGTGCAACTTAAATTCAATCTATTGGCAAAAAGTTTTAGCAAAAAGAACCAATATGCACTTATATACACAAATACAATACTATTAACAAATTAAATACTGCTTCTTTATTATGCGCTATAGCTTTTACCATCACTTTAATAATTTCTTATACTTAACCACATGATCATGTAATAATTATATAGTTTTATTTGTATTGCAAGAATTAAAACTCTGCATTTTGTTTACATGAATTTAATAGCAAGTGATTTTTAGACTTATATACTTATATTTACACTTGTATACTTACATTTATACTTGCAGCTTCTACACTTACATATTTACATTCATACTATTTGCAATCTTTTTAGTAATCTCTTTTTTCAATAAACTCTTTAGCAGTCTCTTTTTTTTAACAGTCTTTTTTTAGGATCACTTTCTTATAATGTCTTTTTGTCTCAGCAATCTTGTTTTTTAAGTGATTTATTTTTTTGCAAATTTTTTTTTTTCAGCAATTTGTTTTTCTTTTTTTTTAACAGCACTTTTTTTTTAGTTGGTTTTGTTCTTTTTTTTAGCAGTTTCTTTTTTCAACATTTTCTTTTTTTTAGAGTTTCTTTTTTTTCTGACAATCTTTTTTTCTTTATATCAGTTGTGATTTTTTTTTCAATATCAGATAATTACTTTCTTTTGCTTTCCTTTAAAAATCGTATCTTTTTTTCTTTAACAAATTATATGATGGAAAGTAAGTGATGTGTTTGATTTTTTTCATAACCTATAATGATTTATTCTATCTAGATTTTAGGTTTTTCTTACAAAGAACTTCAAGCCAATTTACCTTTTTTTCTTAATAATAGTAATAATGAAATGCAATTTCCCTTTTTTCCTGATGATATTGATACAGTAAAGTGTACTGATAACTTTAAAAAACAATTTGATAGTTAAAATTTCTATGTAAAACTTCAAGAAAATATGGGTATAGAAATTTAGAGAAGTATTGTCGTAGAACCTTAAAAAAATATGGGTATAGAATTTCAGAGAAGCATTATCGTAAAACCTCAAGAAAGTTTAAAATCAGAATTTCAAAGAAGTATGAGTATAGAATTTCATGATAGTGTAAATATAGAATTTTACAATAGTAAGGATATAGAATTCACAATAATACAGATATAGAATTTCACGATAGTGTGAATATAGAATTTTATGATAGTACAGATATAAAATTTTATAATATTATGGGTATAGAATTTTATGATAGTACCAGTATAGAATTTGATAATAGTACAGATATAGAATTTTAAAATATTATAGATGTAGATTCTCAAAGAAGTATAGATCTAGAACCTGAGTTAGAAGAGCTAGTTCATATTAATGTTAGCAATATATTTATTTCATGGGATATGGCTAAAATATAACTTAATCAGATACAAGATCAGCTAGATTTAGTATACGGCATAAACAAGTTGAAGTTAATAAAGATAAAATGGTTTGTTGATGAGTATTTGAATATACTTTTTCTGAAGAGCTCAATTCTAATCAAGTAATTGATCCAACCTGCTAGTGCAAGTATCTATTTAGTAAGATTGGGTCTCTTTAGTATATAAATTTAACCATGCCTAAAGCTGTATCAAAAGTAAGCATAACTAGTATTGTTGAAAAATACTATCATTCCATAATATCTGATTTAACTTTATATATACCCAAATATTGAAGGTTGTCAGATAATATAATTGAGCAGATTAAGTTTTATGTAACTAAAGGCAATTTAGGATTAAAACAAATATATTCTTTAATAACTGCAAGTTTTCTGAATCATTTAATCAGCAAGTGAGACTTTATAATGCTGTCTATAGTTTTAAAGCACCTTCCACAAAGTATTAAGTAGATATACAGAATATGATTAATAAATTACTTGAATTACAAGATCAGGAGTCAGGTTCGATAGTTAAAACAAGACTAAATCTATTTAATTATTGGCTGATAGAGTTATTCCAGATATTACCTAGTCAATAATGGTGTCTTTTACGATATAACAATGTAATACAAATAGATAATACAAGTTAATGAACTGGTTTAATATATATTTGACTCTCTTAGTTGTAATCGATAATAATACTAAAAGTTAACTTGTTGCTCAATATCTATCAAACAACAAAACAACTGAAAGTTATAAATAGTTTTTCAAATGTATTCTTCAAAGACAAATAATATTTTACCTATTTGTATATTTTTTGACAGACCTTGCTTTACTAAATACCATAGCATTAAAAATACCTACTGTTCATTATTTTCTTTATATTTTTTATATATAAGAAAATTTGTATAAAAATTTACAAAGTAAATTGGGCAAACATTATAATACATTCTATTAAGAATTTCTACATACCCAAAATAGCTTATTTGAAAATAATTTTCATCACCGTTAGATATATTTATTAGAAAGGTATCTATAGACTTAAAATTACCTCAATAATACTTTACAAAATTGTTATAGAATGTAGACAAAATATTTTCAAATTAAAGTTTTCACAGCTGGAGTTCAAAGTACACAGAGTGTTGAAGTAATGAATAAAATAATTAAGGAGAATATAAGCAGTACATCTTCACTATACAATTTGCATAATATAATACAAAGTCTTTTAGATAATAAAGCCAAATAAGCTCGATATAATTCATATCTCCAAAGCCTTCCAGTTAATCAAGCACCTTCTATTATTAAGCCTATATTTCCTGAAGTGTTTAAATTACTAAAAAAGTATTTATCTTCTCATATTTTATCTGTTTAACATTAGCAGATACTTGGATCTTTACTATATTGTGCAAGGTTAATCTCTAAAAAGATTCTAGATATTATACAAGAAGTAAGTTCTAATAATGATAATGCAGTAATCTAGCTTAAATATTATTATAGTCTGGCTTATTTTTGGCTCACTAGCCTAGCAAGCCAAAATGAGCTGAACTATAATAATATTTAAGCCAGATTACTGTAAAACACTAATTATTAATTTGAAGTAATAAAAATTGTTTCTTTTTAGGATCCTGATTTGCTTGACTGTGATGTTGAGTTTCTTGAAGATCACCTGAATAGGCTGCAAGCATCACTTTATTCTCTTATGGATAGAATTCAGCTATTTGATATTTTAGAAATATAGAAGCTTTTTGGATTTACAGAATTATATAAATATTATATTATATTATTGGTTGATAGTAGATATTTATGTACTTGTTTATCAATTATTAATCATGGGCTTGTATATGTATATTTTTTTCAAGTCATAATGAATTCGATGGCTGCCAAGTTTAACATTGGCCTTATAGCTAAACAATGGTATATAGAAGATATTTGTGATTAAGAGATTGAATCAAATTTATATAAGACCATAAAAATAGTGACACAATTTAAACAAGTTAATACTAATATTACAATAGTACCTGATTTGCATATATTTAATCAATTTAGAACACCATATGCATTTATGACTGAAACTAGAAAACATGTACAAAAGAAAGCCAAATATGCTTATGGTTTTGAAAAAATTAAATCAGCACTTAATTTAGCACTTAATATGGGCTGTAAAGATGAGCTTGTCGATATAATAATTGGTTTTATTAATCAGAAGAAAAGTAGCACTAGTACTGAAAATAATGAAAACTATAAAAATTTGTATATATTAGATCCTTTTGTTCAGAAGTAATATGGACATTCACCGACTAAACGTATTAAGTTATTAACAGAAAATAAATCACAACATATTAGTACTTGAAATAGTGCAATCAATCCAACTAATCCAAATTTATATAAATGTCAAAAAACTCTATTAAATACCCTTAATAATAATTCTAATATAATTTATAACATTTTTACAAGAGCAACTTATAATATGAAAGAACATGTTATTAAACAGAAGTATATATATAACATGTGTAGAAAACCTGGCCATAATACATGAAAGTGCAACAAATAGGTTCACAAATAAGACTGTAATATAAATATATAGTGATATATCAAAATAAAGTTTTTAGCTAGATGTTACATTTGGGGTATTTCAACTGTGATTATGTATTGTAAAATTGGTCATACAAAGCTTAAAGCTATTTCTAATAAAGTAGTTTGAAAAAATTTGTCCTTTACTAAACACCTGTATATCTTCCACAAACTAACCCTAAAATTATGAGGATGATTTTGTAGATAAGTATTAATAAACTTCACATTAAATATATGCAGCCAATTCACTATATTGTGCTTGAAATCCTTTA